GGCAGGACATTGACTTTCTTTTACAGCCTTATTGAAATATATTTCACATATCATAAAATTCATCCATTTATAAGGTGTATAGTTTTGTGGTTTTTAGTATATTCAGTTGTACAATCTAATTTTAGAACATTTTTTACAGTCTCCAAAGAAATCCCAAACCCATTTGCAAAAACTCCACATTCTAACTACCCACCCCTTCAGGCTTATGGAACCACTAATCTACATTGTCTCTTGATGGATTTGACTGTTTTGGCCATTTCAGGTAAATGGAATCAAACAATGTGATTTTTTTTTGGTCTGGCTTATTCGCTTAACATGTTTTCAAGATTCTTCCATGTTGTAGCATTTGTCAGTACTTCATTCCTTTTTATGCCAAATAATATTCCATTTTAGAGCTATACCACATTTTATTTGTCCATTTTTAGTACATGGACCTTTGAGTTATTTCTATTTTTTTGGTTACTATAAATACTATTGCTATGAACATTCATGTATAAATTTGTGTGTACATATGTATTCATTCTTCTTGGGTATAGGAGTGGAATTACTGGGTCACATGTCAACTCTATGCTTAACTTGAGGAACTGCCAAACTGTTTTCCAAAGTGGCTGCATCATATTATATTGCAACAAGAAATATATGAGGGTTCCTATTTCTTCACATCCTTGTCAACACTTGATATTGTCTTTTTAAAAAATTCATCCTAGTGGGTATGGAATGGTATCTCATTGTGATTTTGATTTGCATTTTCCTGATGGCTAGTGATGTTGAGCACCTATTCATGTGCTTACTGGCCATTCATATATCTAATTTGGAAATATGATTATTCAGATCCTTCGCTCACTTTGTAATTGGGTCACTTGTCTTCTAATTATTGAATTGTATGATTTCTTTATATATTCATCAAGTCCCTTACCAGCTATGTGACTTGCAAATATTCTCTCCCATTTTGTGGGTTGTCTTTTCATTTTCTTGTTGGTGTTCTTTGAAGCATAAAAGTTTTTATTTTGATTAAGTCCAATTTAAAATTTTTTCTATTGTCATTTGTGCTTTTAGTGTTGTAGCTAAGAAACCTAATCCAAGGTCATGGAGATTTACTCCTGTTCTCCTCTCAAAGTTTCTCTCTTACATTTAGGTCTATGAGCCATTTTGAATTAACTTTTGTGTGTGATGTGAAGTAGGCGTCCAACTCCATTCTTTTACATATGAATATCCAGGGGTCTAAGCACTGTTTATTGAAAAGACTGTTCTTTCCTCCATTGAAGTGCCTTAGCACTTCTGTCATAAGTCAGTTGACTATATTGTGAGGTCCTCAGGTTTTGATATTGTTCTAACATATCCTGTGTTTAAAGATATTCTGGTTTTGACTAAGCCTGAAGAGACCTCGCTAGTAATCCTAAAGTAAGTGCCATGAAATGTGTGGAGTACTAGCTCTACTCATATGATGATATTAGGAAAGGAATATCTCCATTTCTAAGTTTCCTATTTTGTAAAATGAGGTAATATCTGCTCTTTCAGCCAGTAGGATTATTGTGGTGAATACATGAAATAATATGTGGGGAAATATTAACATTATGAAGCTATGGACAAATTTGAGATAGTATTGTCTGCACTGAGCAGTAGTTTTGTTAATAGACTATGATTTGGTTTGGGAACCATTTTACTCTCCAGATCACTGGGATCTGGGTTACTCTATGGAGGAAAACTGTCCCAGCTGCCATCGTAACATGGGTTCAATTTAATCTGAATTCTGACCATTCAGTGTTTACAATGGATAGGTTTGTTTTACAATAAAACATGGACTGAGATCTACTTTGTTGAGCCAAATATGTTTTGAGAAAACTCATACCACAACCACCATTGCCTGAAATTATAAATTCCCAGAAATTTAGAAACATGATCTGTTCATTTTAGGCCAACTATTTTCCTTAGATCTTTCAAAGAATATGGATTTGACTCTCCTTTTGAAACAAGGAAAGTTGAATCTCTTTTTCTACTTTGATGAAGCTTCCAAATTTTGTAACTCTAGCATTCTTATATTCCAAAAGGTACAATAAAATAAGTTGAACGCTATCCTATATTTCTCAAATTCTTCTACTACAAAGTTTTCCACAGTTTTGCTGTTTCATATAGCACTTTAAAAAAGTTACTGATTTGGTTGGACTTCATTTCTTAAATGGGCTATTAATTCAAACAATGGCAGGGTTTATTGGTTACTTGCAGTGCGTTCAGGTGTTTCTAGTTCCAAGGTTTGGTTTGAAAGCTGGCAACCCCTGGTTATGACTTTAGCTTTCATTTCTGATTCACATTTTCTGATTCAGAAATCACGAAGGCTGATGGAAATACATTGAGTAGGGCCAACCTAAGGATGCAAGAAACGATCTCAAAACCTACATTCATAGACCTATACTTCCACTTTTGTGTCTTGTCTCCTTGGTCCTTAACCTAAAGACAAGAGTGGAAATAATTAGGAATGCTGGCCAGTGGTAGGTGAGTGACTATTGTATGCCACCTC